ATATATATATATATATATCATTACAATTTATTGAAGTGCAACTTAATCAAAATTTAGCTCTAACCTAATTAATCATAACATAGTTAATTAAATAAATACACAATTTAGTTTAATCTTTATACACACATAAGTGACCCTAAGTAAAATAATAAAATTCCACCAATGGGAGAAAGAGAGGTGAGGGGCTTAATTTCCACTTAATTGATCAGGGAGAGAGAGGCGAGGATGGCATTGGGAGGAAGAGGTTCGATCCTCTAGTATCAGTTAGGTCAAAGCAGTGGGGTGAGAGAAAATTTTAATGGTTATGGAAAGGGGGACTCGGTGGTTACAGAAATGAGAGGTTTACAAGTTGTCGGATGCCCTAGCTCATGATACACTTAAATAGAGAAAGGGTGGTGCAATTAAGCAAACTGGGAAAGCAACAATCGAAGAGGAACTCGCAGAAATAAAAGACCAGAAAAGAAAAGGGAAATCTTGGGGGAGAGCATGCTAGTCTCAAAATTGGGAAGGCGGTTTGAAAGCAAGCACGGGAGATTCTGTGAATCATGTGACTCAAGAAGACGAAAGAGATGATTGCGAGAGTATTTGGCTCGACTTGCACGAGGTCATGGAGAAGGTTTTGATTATTACATCACCCATCCAAGAAGTGCCCCCATACTAGCAAGCTTAACTTTGGAGTTTCTGTCAAAATTTCACCATCACACCACGAGGTGTCGATATACAAGAGTTCGGCTTTATTACACTTAAGGGGCTTCACAATTCCCAACCCCACCCCACCCCCCCAAACCACCAGTTCAGTAATTGGCGTCCTCATCGGTGCTCTAAACCCAAAATCATGCACCAAACAGATAAGATTTTAGAGATGGCCCCTACAGATTCAATAGGGGGCTCCCACCATATAGCATTTTGCCCCATCTTAAGTTCAAATGTTTGGCTTCATTCTACATAAGGGGTTTCATTAATAATTCCATGGATTCTGATGGATGACAAAAATAGGTATGATAGTAATTGAAATTGAAGATAAATTTGTAAGTAGTAATGTGGATCATGCAGTACAATTATGCATTAATAATATTTAGATTACTATAACCTTCTTAGCTTATTCTAGTATTTTTTCTCCTTCATATGGATTTAAGTTTAGGATTTTTTTTTTAAATTAAATCATATAATTCTAGGACTTATGATATTTATATTTCAGTAAAATAGGGCTTCAAATGCTCAAAATCAACAAATGCTTCTTGACATCAATTCTCCCATTAGAGATCGCAACCAAAGTCAAGTGTCAACTTTGATGTAAGTTGATTCCGCTACAAAAACTTAGGCAACTTCTGGGAACATCTCACCATCTTTAAGATTTTCACCATTTGGATTGGTGAAGCTTAGAGGTCCTGCAGTAAGATTTGTATTTGCTGACCCTTTTAAGAAACCATGGTCCAACTAGGCATCATTTAGGACTTCGATATTGTCCCTTTTTTCTTCTTTTATCAGCTAAAATACAATGATTAACCAATTCAAAATCCGAAAACCTAGAGATTGATAAGAAGACATAAGAATTAAAATTTAAAGGAATTTAAAGCCATACAAGGGCTAAACCTTACTTTGGCCCACATCCGTACCAAATCCTCCAAGCATAAAAGAACAAACTTGCCTTTTTCATAACCTTAAAGATCCTCTAAGATCAAGGAAACCTAACATCCCATTTGGAACTAGTCCAAGAGGATGCAACCAAAGCAACATCCCAATAAGAATGATCTACCCCCAGTTCAAAGAAAACATCTAAAAGAAAAAAAAGAAGAACTTCTACTACACAGTTAAAGCTTCCTAAACCGATTGAATGTTGATATGACTCTAGCATATAGTCCCTAGGTCCTAAATGACTTCCAATGAAGAGGTTTCAACCTACACCAATCTTCCAATGAGGTTAAAGACGAGAAAACATCCAAGTCACACCTCAAAAGCATTTTAGTAAAGGTTATATTTTTAACGCCCTCTAAGATTTTATGTGACAATTAAATAAAAATATGTTTCTTTCAAAGGGCAGCCTTCAAAGTCTTCTCGTAAATCACCCTATAGATGCTCTTAGGTGATGAGCTGGATCAAATACAATCTCCTCTAAGAGTTACTCTAAGAAATACCCTCCACGGGATGAATCTCCATCGAGGTCTTATATTAAAAACCAAACACATATATATCGAGATTAACTAAAACCCACCACCACAACTATGCACACTGAACGAAAAAGCATTAATGGGGTTTGGGTTGAAAGCGTAGCACCTGAGATACAATCCCGCATATTAATGAAGAGTGTGCAAAATAGTTTTGGCTAAAAGATTGATGCTCGAGCTCAATTCTACTATCTTTCGCATTAAACAAAGAGTATGTTAAGAAGAACCTGTTGAAAAGCACATCAACTTATGCTTGTCACCCCAAGATGAAATGCATATTAGGTAAAGGGAGTGACGGTGAAAACTCAAAATTTAAACTCAGCACCATCAACTACTACGTGTTTGTTTGCAGGCGAACAAGGAGGACAAACCCAAAAAATATAGTTATGCCTTTAAGCATAAAGTCCATTCTCATAAGCCCCCATAATCAAGTAAGAAAAGCAAACTCAAAAAATCCAACTATTTTCTTCCACCATAACGTCACCTCATGAGTATCCAAATGGTGTGAGGATGATAGAAATCTTTTTTTCTCACACCAACAACTCCAAAATGCCCATAAGGAATGAAAAGGGTAGAGATTGTAAACTTTTACTTTTTCCTTTGAGTAAATCATTTCTCCCCAAATACCCAAAATGAGCTTGAAAAATGACGCTGAAAAGGCATATTATAGACTCATTCAATTTTTAAAACAATTAAAATAAGGAAAAAAAATATTTTACTTTTTGAATAATTTAACCAAATATTGAGCTTCACTTTTTGAAGATCGTTGTAACAGAACCATCATAGGTAATCCAACTTATGTTGGTGGCCCGAGCACTCGAGCCCAATGCATACCTGAGTTTTGGCTCATTAGTTACAAGCTCTTTGGCATTTGGGGCCCTATTTTTTTAGCAGATATATGATTCTAGAACATAGTTGCAATGGATATTATGATTTGGCTTAATCTAAACATATAGTCTATTAGGAAATTATAATTTTAGAGTGTGAAATCAAAAGGAAAAAAATGATTAAACCAATATAACATTATGGAATGTTGTGATTCCCCTAGTTACATATGCCATTGCTACTAAATTATTGTATTATTGAGGGTATGATACTAATTATGCTCTATCAAAGCTGCAATTTGAAACTTTGAAAGTTCGCCAATGACTGTAGTTTCTTCAGTTTCTACAAGTTTCATGTGAAGCACTAAATCACCAGATAGTTTTCATGCAGTGCATGATTTTGTGATCGAGGGATACACTACATAGAAATGTGAATTGAGTTAAAGCAAACCTTGGTTGGTTTGGTTTGAATGAGTTGAATATTGCTTCCATAACTAAAGGACTTGAAGTTGGCTCATGAGCCAAACCCTCCATCTCAACTCATGTGTTCCAATGTTTGTGCGAGCAGACGGTCATCCTTGCATCTGGGGCAAGGTGTTGCACTTCGTCGACCAAAAGACATTTTTAGGTCTTCATTACTCAATTCTTCATCACATATGCTCTATCAAAGGCTTCACCTTGGCTCGCACCCCCAGGCAGAGCTTTCCAGCGCAAGTGACTTCTATGTTTGTTGCCAAGTCATCAAAGGTTGGGGCCCAACTCTCTTTCTTACCCACGAACTTTCACTCTTCCTAGGAAGATGCATCTCGAGATCGAGCAACAAGTCACTGCCGAAATCAAGAAATTGACAGACACTAACTTTGTAAGAGAAGAACAGCACCCAACTTGATTAGCCAACATAGTGCTCGTCAGAAAAAAGAACAGACAGATTCGAGTCTGCATTGGTTTCAAAGACTTGAACAAAGCTTGCCCCAAGGACGATTTCCATTACCTATCTCGGAATTAATGGTAGACGTTGCATCATCTCACACAATTTTCTCATATATGGACGAATCATTCGGGTGCAATCAAATCAAGATGACACCGGAAGATACAACACTTACGGCTTTCAGAATGCTTTTGTATGATGACCGAGCTATCTTTTTGGTTTTGAGTGGGGCCCAAATAATCTATCTTAACCCTCAAATTTATTTGATCCAATTAAGATCAACCAAAGGTTCTATAGTGTCCATTAACTCTTGGATAACTACAGTAACTTCATTATCAATGACTTCAATAAATCCTCAATTTTATTGGCAAGAATTTCGGCATGTACAAATTAATGAAATACATAAAAAAGCAATGAAGCAAATTCAAAAGCTCCAAATCTACAATCTCAAGTGGGAAAATACATTTTCATGTTGTCAAAGTGATTGTGGTTAGGAAAATTTGAATTTACAACATAAATTTAAAAGAAAGTCCTAGCAAATTCAACCTTGCAATAAATATGCATCTATTTAAAGCAAAAAAAAAGCATTTTTAGCACTTATTCAAAATAATCCAAAATAAAAGGGATGGCAACAAGCACAGCCTTAAAAAATAGTTCTCAACTAACTCATCACTTTTGATAAAAACTGTTAGGATTTATAAATTGAACTTTATGCAAGAAGGCTCAAACAAACAATGATTCTTCTAGCTCTTATATTGCTACATCAAAATAATATTTATGCCAATTCACTGATCAACCTATATAAATCACATCTCATTAACAGTAATCACTTAGTTCTTTCATAAATAATCATTCAATTTATATTAGCAAGGAAGATTCACTCATCCAACTAAGATTTCCAACAACAATTTGAAGGCCTCAAGTCCAATATCCGTCACTCCATTATTATAATAGACATGACAGTCATACATAGATCTCAAAGATGATGTGGCTCACTTCTATCCACCCTTCTACCTACTTAAGGACCAAAATGCCTCAATTGAGAGGTAATCTGACGTAACTATTCAATGTACTCTTCACCATTATACTGGCATGTACTTTATCAAACAACTATAAAGCTCTCATTGGGACAAGGTAAAGTGCCTGTCTCATTCTCCCTTTTTCAGTCCTAAGGAAAACCCGGTCAAATACTTTTAGTTCTATTCAATTTTAAGCTCAACTATAAATTTGAGCATCAGAAGCTCCTCTCAAAAACAAAAACCCTAGATTGGCTTTTTACCATTTGTTTTTAGCAGATAGTGTCTGACACAGTGTCCACATGTCTGCCTCAAGAAAATCCAACTCCCGATCTCGACTGGTATTAAAGATCATTTGTTGCAAGCAACAATCATTAGTTGTTTAGAATTAAAACAATTACAAAAGCTCTAATTCGGCTTATTTTAATCCGTCTTATATTCCCATTCTTGGACCCCGGTGATCCGTGCTAAATTATTCTACCACTTGACCTGATTGTATTTGCCAATAGCCAATAACTTCGAGGAAGATAAAGTATAATGAAGGTATAAAAGAAGATCAATAAAGACCTATAAGAACAAGAGACGCAAAACTTAAGCTCGACGACGCTGTCATAACCGGATCCTCGAACCTGAGATCCCTGCAATAAACACAGGGCGGTCTTCGATGATTAGATACCATCATAAAAAAATCGCAGTGTAAAACAAAAAAATCGGTGATCTCAAACCGATATTTACCTGAACGGCTGCGAAATCAGGCACCTGGGGAACCGGCCGAGATTGGGGCTGGTGATGACGTGGCATATGAGGCTTACTGGAAGGAGAGGTAGGAGGAGGGGTGAAAAGACTAACGAGATCTGAGCAGAAGAGGAAGACAGGAAACCCTAGCAGAAGAAGATGGAGGCGATCCATGGCCCGCTCTTGCTCACGGAGGAATTGGCCGTACTGGTTATGCTTCTGGACACCACTTAATATATAAGTATTTTAATAAGCCTATTCATTTTATGTCGTAACATTCTAATATTTTTTTTTAATTAAAATCGTGGTATTTGTAATTTGATATGAAAAATTTGTGTGGTATAAATGTAATAAAAAAGGTGAAATCTAGATATTTATTATGTAAATTCATAAGAATTGAGTGGTATGTTTTGATGCATTTATAACCCAAGAGATTCTCAAAGCTAAATAATATTTAATTTTAATTAACATATTTAATTTATATTAACATAAATGATTTTTCAATATTATTTTTTTATTTAAATATTTTAAATTTTAAATATGTATAATATAACTTTGAAAATTTTATTTTGTCATTTTGATATAAACTACGTTAAATTCTCTTATATTTTATAGCTTTTTTAGAACAAATGATTGCTTATTAACTTATGCTTTAAACTTGTATTGTAATAATTCAATGTATTATTTATAATATTCATCTCTTAATATATGGAACAAATCATTAATAATTATAATAAGCCATTAAAATATATTTCTCCACATAATTTTAAAGGTTCAAAGTGCTAAATGCTTGAATTAAAACTTTCTAAGTTTCAACTTTATGGTCCATATAACTTCATTTCAAGAAATTTATAATAAAAGGTTAATTAGAATATAGTGATAAGAGTTTAGATGTACCTAATTCAAATGTTTGATTGTATGATTAAAGTTCATTTTAGGAACTAAATAACTTACCAATGATGCATATTTGTAGTCGAAATAAACGTATTAATGAGACCATTTTGAGTGTTAAATATTGCACAACTTTGATGTTGTAAAGGCATTTAGGTACCTAAAAATATTTAATAATTAAGTATTTTAATTCCTATCATCCTTTTATAGCAACCTGATTGTTGAACAAAAATATTATAATGACTTCTAAGAAAATTTATAAATAGACTATTATTCTGCACATTCAAGGGAAGCCCCAAATAATAGTGCTCACTACTTGAAATTATCGCTAAATTTGGTTGGTGTGGTGTTTATTAGATGTCCACCATAGACCTCAAAAGATTTCTATCTAATGATTAGACAAGACATTTGAAGAATAATATACTAATCCAAAAAATAAAAATTTCATGAACCTACATAACCAGATATTTTTCTTACCTTACTAGTATATGATAAGGTTTATTTTATTATTGGGTTTGGTAACCCTATGATCTGGCTCTCTCATTGTTAATTGTATCTTAAGAATTGCTCCTGAGAACACTCTCAAAAAAAGTTATGCCATACATCTTTCTGGATTATCATTAGATTTCTGTGAGATTATAGATGTTTAAAGACTTTGATAGAAGGATAGACTTAGATAAATGTTAACTTCACTTGAGCTGAGTAAATTGATTTTTTTGAGTTAAGTTTACTTTTAAAAGTTTATTTAAATTAAAGTTCAATTTAAGTTAGTTATTAAATTTTGAAAAGTGTATTTAAAATTTTACAACTTGATTTGATGAAAAATTTTAAGTCTTGTTAAATTGATTTGTTAAAATTTTTTAATTTATTTTAATTTGTCTTTTAAATTGGTTTAAGTATTATTAAAATTCTTTTTTTTTAAGTTTACTAATTTTCTTATGTGGAGTTAATTAAGATTTATTAAAGCAGTTAAGTTTAGTTTTTAAGGCTGATTATAAAAATTAATCAATATTTATTGAATTTAATGTTGGTTTGAAACTTTTAAAGCTTATTAAGTTCTATTAAAGTATATTTAGTTTTACTTAAATTTATTAAAGTTTGTTAAAGTTTATTTAAATTTAACAAAGTTTGTTAAATTTGAGATTTTAATCAAATTTTTTATTAAAGTTTAATTGTGTTAGTTAAGATTTATTAAACTTTTATTTATTAGAACTTTTATTTTAAAAATTAAGTTGATTAAAGTTAACTGAGTTTTGATTAGACTTGGGTTAATTTTCAAAATTTCTTCATCCTTAGTGGTTGGGCTCAACAAATGAAAGTCTGAGTAATAGTACTAAGCTTGAATTTGGAATTCATGTTCAAGGTTATATATTTAGATTAAATTGAAAATGGAGTTAAATTAAGTCTGATTTAAATAGAATTGTGGTGGACTTGAGTTTTATTTAAATCAAATTGGATTTAGCTTTTTTTGTTGAATTGATGTAGATGGAACTGAGTTGAGACACATCCTAGACTAAAGGACAAAAAAAGGATAAGGGAATTTTATATGGAGGTGAGGCCCTGACCTAAATGACTCTAAGGATCTGTTTGGGGCAGTGATCTCGTTACTGTTTATATGCAACAATATAATAACGTCTTTGATGATATTTTTCACTTATATTTCCTTACTTTGCAATAGAACCAAAAACTTGATCCTAAAGAAAATATGAATTTAACTTTTTAATGTATATATATATATTGGGACACTACACAAGTATATGCATCGTTATCAAGTAATATAGGACTTTTTGATTAAGACCTGAATATCGAACCCACAGGAAAAATTAGCAAAATGCATTATTGATCAACAAAACTTCTATTTTAAAAAGATAATTACTTAAACTATAGATATTTTCACAGTAGGTAAAATCCAATTCTTTTTAGTATTTTTGATATTTTGAAAAAACAATAAAACTTCTAAAGATAACTTGAGTTTATGTAAAAGAAAAGTACTTGATATGAAAATATCTTTCTCCTTATCACGAACCAGTAATAAGTATATGAATTCTGTTGTGGAAGTATGCAAATTGTGTTGTGTCAAATAGGAACAATAATATTCTTTACCCTTACTAGAGATGCTATAAAGAACATTGACTAATTTAAAGTTTGAATAGTTTTGAAGACAGGTTAAGCAGGGAAAATACTAGCTCTCACTATAGAGTTCCCTAGATTCCCTCCACCTGAGGGCTAACATCTCGTATCAAAACCTAAAACAATAAACCAAGTTGGGGGCTTTAACCTGTCACTTTAAAGTCCTCTAACTCTACACCCTTAAAAGATCATTTCCCTATTTATTTACACTAAATAATATGAATTACATCTCATTCATACAACCTCATATGATTCTTTCTAATTGTTGACTGAGACAATACCATTCATGTTCTTACATGTTCTCACAACAAATTTTAATATCAAGATGGGCCAAATCAAGAAGTAAATGAAGTATATGGATTTAAATCATCACAACTTCTTCCAATATTAAAGATCAATACTCTCCACAACTTCTATCCAACACTTAATTACTTATCATTTTAAGAAGACAGATAAAGAAAACTACTCAGTATCTATGGAGAAAACAAACTCACACTATTGTTTAAAAGTAGAAATCTTTGTCAAACCACGAAGTCTCGACTAAAACCAAAAATAGTTTAAAAATAAAAGATAAACTTATCTCAAATCCTCCACCAAAATCTTAAAGTTCCATTGAATCTCTTCTCTTTTGCAACACTCTTGACTCTCACAATAAAACTAAAAACAAAAAGGATAAAATAAATTTGTGGTGCTTAAAAATCTCTCCAAAACTACCTCTCAAAATTCCCCCTTTCCAACACTTTTCAGAACTTTCAAAAAGTCTCAAATTCCTTCTTTTATAAATCTCCAAGAGGTGCCTCGATAATTCTTCAAAATGTGTCCCAATTCGATGTATTCTCCAAAGGATGTCTCCTTTTACAAATCTTCTAACCATATTTTCGTTTTTAGTGGACATAACCAACCTCTTTAGCTAATAGATGCCTCAAATGTCCCTTCAAAATTTGGTAAAATGAAGTACATTGTCACATAACTGCCTCCGACCTTTAAGCGCGGGGCCTCGGACGCTTAGGTCCGACCTTCTCTATTTCACCGGCGCTTAAGCGTCGGATTTGCCGCTTAGGCGCCAAAACTCTTATGCACCAATTTCACATTTTTACTCCAAATTTGATCTTTTTTCACTCCTTTTTAGCATTTTTCACCTTTTTTATTTGTACCTGAAAGAAGAACATATAAATACCTTTCATTAAAGCGCAATATCTCAAAAAATAGGTATAAAAATGTGTCTAAAAACACTATATTTTTTAGGTGTATCAAAATCCTCTAAACTTAAAATGTTCTAAACTTCTTGTCCTCAAGTGACACTTCAATCTTTAAAAATAAAATAAGTATGATATGTGTATGAGTTTCTTTAGGAGTTACTACAATTTTGATTTAGAAATATAGTAGTCCAATTTAGAAAAAATATTTAGTAAATGAGACCAACTTAAAGTTTAGAAATTTTTAATGTTAAGAAATATGAAAATATGAGTTTCTATCTAATTTAGAAATATTATAGATTTTCCAAATTTATAAATTAGTCCTTTTATTATCTCCACTTAAAAAAATTTTATTAAAAATAATTTTACTTACCATATTATATCCCTAAGCTTAAGAGTTTCTTAAATCTTATACTTTAAAAAGATCAAATGTGGAACCAATTTTTGATTAGACACTAATCCTCAAGCTTCTCCCTCCTAACATTTTTTTTTCTTTTCTTTTTCTTTTTCTTTTTCATTTTCAAGCAAGGATTATTATATCTGGATAGGTCTTTAATGGTTTTGAATTCCACTTGTCCTTTCTTAAAGCAAAGTCCTCATATAAATCTTTTACTTATAAATATAATAGTAGTTTTGAAAATTATTTTTAACAAAAGAAATTTAATAACAAAAGAAATTTAAAAAATAAAGGTCTAAATTTCTAAATTCTTCAAAAATATAATTTTTCTTACTAAAGATTGTTACACTATATTTAACATTTTCTACACTAAAAATTTTTAACTGAAAGTTTTTCTTCATTACTTAGAATTTTAACTAGATTTTCTTACTCATTTTTTTAATCAAATTTTACTTCCCTAATATAATTTCATATACATGATCATTTTTCTTTTTAAATAAAATTCACTTGAAGCACATCTGAGAACAATTAAAATTCAAGTTTTGAAAATATTTTTCATCCCCCCAAACTTAATTTTTTAACAAGATTAAATAGTTGAGTATCATATATATAAGCAGAGGAATGAAAATTTGAAA